TGTGTATTAGACCATTTGTAAATCATACGTTTTTCGTGAAAAATTTTAAAAAAAACAAAAAACTTTTTTTTTTTTTTTTTATTCAATAACCACATAACTCACGTATTTTAACCCACGTATTTAACACCAAATTTTTTTTATAAACCAAAAGAAGATGCACCACAAAAATTTGCCTTTCTAACATTAAAACAAAAAAATCCAAAAGACAAAAAGAGTAAACACAATCTAAGATCTAAATCATTCATATCGTTGAAATACAGAAGCAACATCATCTTTAAGACGCCTAACAACTCGTTTCCTAACTTCATCTTCTCTTTGGCGAACAACATTTTCCAACATTTCAATTTTACGCTGACTATCTTCCAACATTCCAACAGCCTTAACCAATCTTTCTTGATATAGGTTGATAGTTTCTTTCGGATCACTTGATACAGTATTAGGAGGCAATAAAAGTTCGGAATAAGAAAAACCAGGATTATTACTATCTTGAGTACCAATATTGCTATTTGATAAATTGTTATTTTGAGACCATGACCAATTAGCATTTGGAGATTGAGGTCTATCTTGTTTTTGTTGACCACGTTTATTTGAAAGACGAAAAGTATCGAATCCTAAAGCAGAAGGATCAGAATTTTGTTTTCGTCTTGAAGGAGGAATATTTTTGTGAGGAGGAGAAGTAGTTGAAGTGACAGATTGTTGGGGGGAAGGGATATCACCGGCTTGGGTAGGTGTAGGGCCACCACCAACGGAAATGCTTCGCCATCGTATTTGAGTAGCAGGACCACCAGAAGATACTACACGAAAATGGCTTGTATCACCAGAATTATGATGAAGTTTCATTTCTGACGATTTAGTAGGAGAAGGGTTAGGAGTAGGAATGTGTCCATTTTTCGGTTTACCAAGTTTTGGTAATTTTTCTTGAGTGGAAATGATCTAAAAAAAAATCGAGAAAATGATTATTAAAAGATTATGAAAAAGGAAAATTATAAAAAAGATTATGAAAAAGGAAAATTATAAAAAAAAGATTATGAAAAAGGAAAATTATAAAAAAAAGATTATGAAAAAGGAAAATTATAAAAAAGATTATGAAAAAGGAAAATTATAAAAAAGATTATGAAAAAGGA